TTGTTTCTATGTGGGAGAGCCCCTAATCAATCTATGTTTGCCTCCTTTTTAAAACATTGGGAAGAGTATGATATCAAAAAAGATTTCTGAAAATTAAACATGTGGATTGAAACTCTTTTCAAAAAGCATGCAATGCTACGAAAAGCATCTTCAGCCTTTCCTTAAAGGTTTACAATAGAGTCTCGCTTATCCAACATAAACAGGCTGGCAGAATGTTGGATAAGCGAAATTGTTGGATAATAAGGAGGGATGAAGGGAAACCCTATGATACGTCAAATTACGTTATGATTTTACAAATTAATACCAAAACATCACGTTTTACAACAAATCAACAGAAAAAGCAGTTCAATAAATGGTAACGTTATATAGTAATTACTGTATTTATGGATTTAGCACCCATACATTGTAATGTATTGAAACAACTGTGGATCCGGGTGGGAGGCAGACTGCATTGGATAATACAGAGTGTTGATGAGTGTAGTTTGCATAAGCGAGACTCTACTGCACTTGTAAATTAAGACTCATTCTATTGGCTGAAACTGACAAGTAAATATTCTTGGGATTGCTGCTTTGATCTGAAACATGTCTCCTGTGTGAATATCATTAATGTCGATCTAAAAGCAGGAGACATTGTATTCTAACTAGTTTAGGCATGACATTAGACATGGAAAATATTTGTAAAGTATCAACAGACAGTGCTGTAGTTTGGTCTCATAGCTGCTGTTTATGATTTAAAGTTGGTTAAAAAACTGTGTGTCTGTTCCATGATCAAATATGCTCTCTCTTCCAGAACTAAAAGCATGTATTCCTTTCTGCCTTTCTCCAAACCAAAGTTAATGTACATTAGTGGCATCTAATAACCGGCTTTTAAGAGGTTCCATAACATTGCTAACTGAAATGCAGGAAAACAGTGACATCTATTGATAAAGCATGGCAACTTTTAAAGTGTTGAAACTCAAAACTCAGTTTTGATTTCTTTGGAGAGAGAGCTGTAAAACAATAGTACAGCCATTATATGTTGTTAAATGTTTTATTCACAATATATTCTGAACAGAATTACAGGGAAAAAAACAAATGGAACCTGAAACAAGGAAATTGTCAATGGAGCAATCTCCTGGGTGTTTAGTGATAAGTATTTTCCTATGTGTCAACATCTGAAAATTGTTGAAACTTTCAGTAACATGTAGATATAATCATACAAATTACTTGTCTGCAGAATTTCTCTGAACATTCTTACTGGTTTTAAAAGGAAGATGTTTAAAATAATTCTTAATTAGTTTAAACTAAACTGAAACAAAATTGACAGTAGAGATTATTAACCAGTCACAATACAAAAACACTGATAAATCTTATGAGGGTCCACTGGCTTCTTCATAAACCAGAATAAATTTAAAATCATATAGGACAGTATTTCTCAACCTTCCTAATGCTGTGACTCCTTGATGCAGTTCCTCATGTGGTGGTGACCCTCAACCAAATTATTTTTGTTGCTACTTCATAACTGTAATTTTGTTACTGTTATTAACCATAATGTAAATATCTGATATACAAGATGTATTTTCATTCATTGGACCAAATTTGGAACAAATACCCCGATACGCACAAATTTGAATACTGGTAGAGTTGGGGTGTGGGGTTGATTTTGTCATTTGGGAATTGTAATTGCTGGGATTTATAGTTCATCTACAATCAAAGAGCATTCTGAACTCCACCAATGATGGAATTGAAGCAATCTTGGCACACAGAACTCCCATGACCAATACAAAATACTGGAAGGGTTTGGTGGGCATTCACCTTGATTTTTGGAGTTGTAGTTCACCTACATCCAGAGAGCACTGTGGACTCAAACAATGACATAACTGGAGCAAACTTGGCACAAATATTCAATACGCCCAAATGTGCACACTGGTGGAGTTTGGGGAAAATAGACCCTAACATTTGGGAGTTGTAGTTGCTGGGATTTATAGTACACCTACAATCAAAGAGCATTCTGAACCCCACCAATAATAGAATTGGACTAAAATTCCCACAGAGGACCCCCTCAAACAACAAAAAATACTGTTTTTGGTGTTTGGCAACCCCTCTGATACCCCCTTGTGACCCCCCCCCCAGGGGTCCCAATCTCCAGGCTTAGAAATACTGATATAAGAGAAGTAAGTTTCATTCGGTCCGAAGGGATCTCATTGCAAGAAGGCGGCACTCCTTGGTTTTGGAAATGAGAAGATCTATCTTTTAAATCTTGCAATATTCATAACAGAGGAATTTATCATGCAACCTTCTATAGGGAAATGACTGGATGTGTCATTGCTCACTGCCCCTCTCTCCAGCCCTTCTGGCATTTCTCTTTCATAGGGGATGACATGGCATGAAAGGTAGTCTTGGGTGGAGGCGGCACTTGGAAAGGAAGCTGCCATAGTTCAGTTGTTGCAGCTGCATCTCCTGATTTAGGATCCCAGCATTCATCTATTGCTTTGTGTGCCTATTTTCAGAAGACTTCTTTTCCATGTACCATCTACTTTATTTTCAGATGCATGGAGAGGTGACTTTCAGTTATGGAACATTACTGTTCCATATAAAACTTACGTTCATTTTCCCAGCATTTCAGATGTCCTTTTCTTCTTCCTAACAATTATGTGATGCTTTAGTGACCTTTAACAGGTTCTTTAGTGTTGACTTTTTCTATTTTTTGCCATAAAACACCCTACAAGATTGATGAGTGATACAGACAAATCTATATCTAATACATAAATCTGTGTTAAAGCCATTGTTCTGTACAAGGTACAACAATATGTGTTCGGGTTTTGTTTTACAGTCAATACTGCTATCCCTGCATGTGCATATTGATTATTTTCTTCGCCTCATATACTTTGTGCTTGAAGGACTATTGCAGGCCAAATGACACTTTTTTTCTCCTTTTTTGTGGTTGTGGAAGCCCAAATGACCCCCGCTTTAAAGGACACAGTCACAGACACAAACACACAAATGAAAGACAGCTCGATGAAAGCAGAACTGTTTCACAAAGTGTGTATCTACACTTTAGAATTAATGCATTTTAACACTACTTTAACTGCCATGGCTCATTTCTATGGAATCCTGGGTGTTGTAGTTTTACAAGGTCTTTAGCCTTCTCTGCCAAGGAATGCTGGTGCCACTCTAATCTACAACTCCTAGGATCCCGTAGCATTGAGCCATGGCAGTTAAAGTGGTGTCAAACTGCATGAATTCTAAAGTGTAGACATATTATTTACTTAAAGAAGTATTTCTGCCCTCTACCTTTAGGTGTCACTACCTCCTCTAGATCTTAGGCAGGCCAGCATCTGCAGACTATCCAAGATATTTGGGGAAGGATGTGCAAAAGGTGATCAGAGAGGGATCAGAGGGGAGATTGAAATCTGTTCAGTAATCAGCTGAAGATTTGCAAGAATTTCTGGCACTTTGTTGTTTAAGTAGAAACAATTGTCACAAGGTTTCCTTTCCCAATAATCAGTTGGAATGAAGAAAGTTCTCTCTTTATGTCCATATGTGCAGCTTCTGCCTCTTCATCCTACTTCATTTCCACCAGAAGTGAGGTTCTTTCTAAACCTCCACTGCCATTAAATATTAAGACTGCCATAAACCTCATTGCTATCACCAGGAGCAAGGGTTTTCCCGGATCCCTATCTCAGTTAACAGTCCAACGATTCCCTCTTGTCCCAACTCTGTGACCTCACAACTTCGGGACCTCCAAGATCCCCTCAAGGTTCCAGGATGAGATATTATGCAATCTCCATTAGATATCATTCTTCTATATCACAGCTGCCAGGATAGACACTATGCATATCTAGTTAGGCCTCTACATTTGCTGGTTTCGCTTTTGAAGAATTGAAGATTCATGAATTTGATGAAAAGGTATTCTCTCTGAATCTATATGTTCACTAGTAAGACTCTATTATCAACTTCTGGTAGATGATGAACACAGAGTTGCACTATAAGACCTAGATATTCCTAGAGAGAACTTTCCTGGCAATCTTTTGGTCCTCCAATGTGATTCTGTGGTTGCCTTCTGGTGGAAGGTGTACTTTGAGAACCCAGATATTCCTATAAACATTACTTTGAGAACCGAGATATTTCTATAAACACAGGCTACTATCTTTGTCTTTATCTTCTCTGAATGATGTGCTGACTAATACTGGAAAGTTCACCCTTTATGCTTTACTTTCCCAGTGCTTGTTGATGCATATAATTAGTACACAAAAGAGAATGACAATTCCAGTTCCCCAAAGTTTTTTAAAAAAAAAAAAAAAAACAATGACAGTAAGATATAACTAGTGTAAACAATTGCGGTCAGCCTTCCATATCTGCAAATTCTGCATCCATGGATTCAACCATCCAGGGCTTGTATATACTCCACAAGAAAATCCAAAAGGCAAGCTTGATTTTGCCATTTTTATAAGGAATTTCATTGTATGTAATGGGACTTGAATGTTTATGAATTTTGGTATCCATGGGCAGTCCTGGAACTAAACCAAAGTAGATCCCAAGGGCTTTTGTACAAACAGTATATCAGTATTAGTTAAATTTGACACAATCCTAGGTGTTAATGTTCATATTGTAAAAATATTCTGCCTGGAAGTGCAAAGAGTTAAGGAAAAGGTTTTCCATGGATTAACTGTTTTGGTTTTTAATCGGTTAAATAACAAACTGGATTAACAGATCATAAATATTAAGTACCTTTCTGAGCATATTGGAGGAAATATGAAAAATTGCCTTGTCGGAAGGAAAAACTCCTTTGCCTTGTCTTTCTAGGAAAGCTCCAGAGCAAAATCGAACACATCCTTCAATCTCAAACCACTGATGAAAATGTGCCTTTTGCCAATCAATCTTTTTCATATTTTATTTAAATGTGTAAAAAGTAATGTGTGGCAATTACAGAGAAATTCTGCATAAGATTGACTGATAAAGGTACAAAAGCAACAGGTGGCACCATGATTCTTCTCACGTCAGTCTTTTTCTTTTCCTAGGGATTCCTGGAAACAAAGAAGTGCACGTTTTTAACCTGACCTCCCTCACAAAGTCTGAGAACATCTTGTCAGCTCTGTTGCATTATTATGTCGGAGATCTCTGGAACAGTACTGCAAATTGTCCTCAGTTGAAAAGCTCTTCTCGTCACAGGCCAAGGAGATCTGACATGCAGATTAGCCTCTTGCTGTTGAGTTTGTCTGCTTCGGGAAACCAAACTCAGACTCTGGGACATTATTTGGTCAACATCTCCACTGCATATCGGCATGTCCATTCATGGCAATGGAAGAACATTACAGATGTACTGAGTAAAGCCAAAGAAAACAATGACTTAATCATTGGAGTCAAAATAGCCTCTGTTGGGCAACACCCCTGGAAGAATGGGGATCCCAATTATGAACCATACATCCTCATTTATGCCAATGACTCTGCCATTTCGGAACCAGAGAATGTTGTTTCTAGCTTGCAAGGACACCGAAGTCCCCTGCCTGGGAGCCATTCAAAGAGCAGCCTCGGTGAAGGGCGGCAAAAACGCTCCACCAATGTTCTTTTGCCTTTGCAGAACAATGAGCTTCCAGGAGCTGAGTACCAATACAGTGAGGATGAAGGATGGGAGGACAGGAAACACTACAAAACCCTCCAGCCACGCCTCGCAGAACGGGCCAAGAACAAGAAAAAGCAGAGGAAGAATAACCAACAAAAAAGCCAGACTCTCCAGTTTGATGAGCAGACGCTTAAAAAGGCAAGGAGGAAGCAGTGGAATGAGCCAAGATATTGTGCGCGGCGCTACCTCAAGGTGGATTTTGCAGACATTGGCTGGAGCGACTGGATTATTTCCCCTAAATCTTTTGATGCCTATTACTGCTCAGGCGAATGTCAGTTCCCTATTCCAAAGGTACTGTATCTTCTTTTAAAAAACTATTCTTCTTTTCTTTGCAAACGCACATAAAGGAAAAATACATTTCAAACCTTTTCAGAAAACTGTATATAGTGTTGTTAAAAGCGTTAGTAAAATCTAGCTTAGCTGTTACTAAAATAAAGCATGGAATAAACAATCCATTTTAAAATGCCTGTCGTAAAATAGCTAAGTCAGAACTATTTTGTGTGTAGATATAAGGTTGTAGGCAGGCCCGTAGCCAGGATTTCGATTCGGGGAGGGGGCTGAGTTTCAGGGGGGCGGGCTGAGTCTGAGTGAAAGAGGGTCTACTCTAGCAAACCTTTTGCATCATTACCCCAATACCCCCATGCATATTGAGTATGGTGATCAGATCATAATATGAATAAACATAACAGTTTAAATAATGCACCAGTAAGGCCTTTTCACGAACCACCATGAGAATTTCGGGGGGGTCTGAAGCCCCTCAAGCCCCCCCCCCAGCTACATGCCTGGTTGTAGGGGGAAATTATATGTTGTATTTGAAATATAATATTCAAATATGTAATGTGTGACCATTGGTAGTAATAGTCATGGGCTCGGCATTTGTGTCATCCATTTATTTCGTGTTTCTGTTTCATACCTTCCATTTTGCAAAACCAGCATCAATGAGTTACAGACTGCATTTTGCCTATCCAGATTCAGAGACAGGGGTTTATCCCACCAACCCTAACAACTCAAATGAATGCTGGATAGAACCTGAGAATCAGTGAAATGGTGAGACCCTTTAGCCCTAAAACTTAGAGGAAGGGGAGCATGGGAAGCCCTCTTATGTTGGCCAGCGGGACAAAATTTTCATTCATTCAGATGAAAGAATGAAACAGGTAATTTGGAAAGGCCCCATTTTCAGAAGCAGTGCTCGAAACAGGGCCATACACATGAAACAAACAGAAACAGATAGTGATTCTATACAAAAGCACAAGACTTTGAATATTTCATGAGCAGGCATGACTAATTCCAAAAGAAAAGTGCTTGGTAATGTGAGCCAGTATGAATTGGAGCATTGGACTAAGACACGGGGAGACCAAGGTTCAAAGCCTTGGGCAAGTCACTTATTCTCAGCCTCAGAGAAAGCCAGTAGCAAAACCTCTCTGAACCAATCTTATCAAGAAAATTCTATGATAGGTTCAGCTTAGAGTTACCATAAATCAGAGACACATTAAAGCATAGTATAGGTAAAGGATCCCTTATCTGGAACTCTGAAGTCCATGAAGTCCAAAACTATCCACATAAGTAGCTGAGATAAGGATATCTTTGCTTTCTGGTTGTTCAGGGTTCGCCGACCTAGTTTCATGCACAACGTTATTAAAATTGGGCCTCATCTCCAAGAGATCTCACTACATGCATGGAAATATTCCAAAATCCAAAATATGAAGGTATGAGAAATACTCAACCTGTAAAAAGATAAAAGTATAGCAGGTTTTTTTGTTGTATGCCTTCAAGTTGTTTACATCCCTTTTTGAAAAAAATCCATCTGACATAGTAACTGTTAAGTCTTTCATCAAGATGTTTTTAGATATGTACTCTAAAGCAGTACTTCTCAGCCTGTGGGTCCCCAGATATTTTGACCTTCAACTCCCAGAATCCTAACACCTGGGGACTCACAGATTGAGAGCCAATGCTCTAAAGTGATCTGTTACCCAGGAAAGAGGCAAATCCATTAGAGCAGTGGTTCTCAACCTGGGGACCCCAGATGTTTTTGGCCTACAACTCCCAGAAATCCTAGCCAGTTTACCAGCTGTTAGGATTTATGGGAGTTGGAGGTCAAAAACATCTGGGGACCCCAGGTTGGGAACCACTGCATTAGATAATTATATTGAAATTTTGCACAGAATGGTAGCTGCAGGCTCCGTCTCATCTTTTACTGTATGATTAAGGTCATATTTAGCCCATCATATTAATACGGCAATTATATAACACTATACTGGATTATTTGTTAATGGTAATGGTGAAAATAACATGGGGGGAGTGTTGGAAACTTTGAGACATTAAGAGCAGAAAGCATCTAACTTTTCCCATAATTCTCTGAATTTTTAATAATGTTTTATTATCCTTTCTAAAAAGTACCAAAGGATTGCTCCTGACTGGCATTCCTAGGAAAGGCACTCCACTGGAAAGCCACACAGTATAGCAGTTTTGTTGAAGTTAAGCAGGTCTAAGTCTTTTCAGGGTGGGAAACAACATGACAATCCCATGTATAATATCTTGGATTCCATGATGAAAGAAAGGATAGGGGCGCAAGGCTGCCTTGAAAGGGCAAAAAGGTGAATAAAACCTAAGAGAACACATACCTAGAGATATCTAGGTCCTTCAATGATAATGTTTGGTCATAAAGTTGTGCTATTTATTTTTATTTATCATGTCAGAAGTGAATTGAGAATTCAGTTATAATGCATACAAAAACCACAAATAAAGTTAAAAGATTAATATTGTACTAAATGTCCTTTGACTAGAAGCTGGCTACTTGGAGCGCCTCTGGTGTGGCTATAAGAAGGCCCTCCATTGTGCATGTGGCAGGGCTCAGGCTGCATTGTAATAGGTGGTCTGTGGTTTGCTCTTCTCCACACTCACATGTCGTGGACTCTGCTTTGTAGCCCCATTTCTTAAGGTTAGCTCTGCATCTCATGGTGCCAAAGCGCTCTCTATTCAACACCTTTCAAGTTGCTCAGCCTTCTGTGTGCCCAGAGGCAAGTTTCTCATCTGGAATCAGCTACTGATTGAGGTTGCAGGGTTTAACTTGCCACTTTTGAACTCTCACTTGCTGAGGTGTTCCTGAGAGTATCTCTGTAGATCTTAGGAAGCTATTTCTTGATTGAAGGCATTGGCTTGCTGGTTGATATCCGAACAGAGGATGGGCTGGAGATGTCAAGCCCTGGTCCTTTCATTTACAGACTGCTGAAGAACCCAGAGATTCCTACAGAGTTAATCTGTTTAGGTCTTCTAGCACAACTTGATGATCGGCTTGCTATTCACCAACCTGGCATTCAACAAATATTTTCAATCCAGGCTGCCTCCTCTTAATTTAGTTCTAGTTGAATATTATAGTTTAATATAACAAGATTTTTTAAATGCAGTAATAAAAATACAATACAGCACAAGTGAAAGCATGACTTTGGCACGTACTATGGTTTTCATTTCCATGTTTGTGGTTCGATTATTATAGATTAATGAAAATTTCCCCTTTACAATTGTATCCAGACCCCTTGGGTAATGCCTGAATTACCTGTGCCTATTTCAGACTAAATTAGCAGGTCTTCATCGTTGAGAGCTTGTCTAGTTTAGCAATCTCTGGACAACAATTTGGGAGCAGCTGCAACCCAACTCAGATTTCAGGCACTGTTCTTTTTCATTTTATGGCTTTTCAAAGAGCAGGAGCACTGCTGTGCCAAGGCCCTTTTTTTCTTATAGTGCAATGGTTCCCAATCTTTTTTGACCAAGGACCACTTGACCAGTGACCACTTTGACCACAGACCACTCTCCAACATTAGTACCAAAAAGGTAAAGGTAAAGGTTTTCCCCTGACATTAAGTCTAGTCGTGTCCAACTCTGGGGGTTGGTGCTCATCTTCATTTCTAAGCCAAACAGCCAGCATTGTCCATAGACACCTCCAAGGTAATGTATCCGGCATGACTACGTGGAGCCCCATTACCTTCCCGCCAGAGTGGTACCTATTGATCTACTCACATTTGCATAGGTTGGCAGAAGTTGGGGTTAACAGCAGGAGCTCATGCCACTCCCTGGATTCAAACCTGTGACTCTAACCCACTATGCTACAAGGGGCTCCATACCAAAAGGGTTACGAATCTGTTTTTGGTCAACTTTAGATTCGGTTTGGTTATTTGGGGTACTGATTCAGAGAATTGCATTGGATAGACCATATCAGCTCTAGTTTCTGATACAGAACCTATGCCATCCAGTAGTCATGTTCTGCTCATCCACAGAAAACCATATTTAATAAGCCTCAGCACTATAGGAGGCTTTCAGGAGACCAGTCGCTCTTGTCACAACGGTGTATGGTGAGGCCACAGACCATATTTTAGTTCTTGCAGACCACTGCTGGTCCATGGACTTCAGGTTGGAAACCACTGTTTTAGTTGTATGCATAAACAAGGGGTAGACTACTGCATGGGAAGTGAGGAGCGGGAACATTCTGTGATCTGGAAGCAGAATTTGAAGGAACTAATTTCGTTTTTAATTTCTGAAGAGAGGAAAGTAAAATTATTTATTTTCATAGAATCAAAGAGTTGGAAGAGACCTCATGGGCCATCCAGTCCAACTCCCTGCCAAGAAGCAGGAATATTCCATTCAAATCACCCCTGACAGATGGCCATCCAGCCTCTGTTTAAAAGCTTCCAAAGATGGAACCTCCACCACACCCTGGGGCAGAGAGTTCCACTGCTGAACGGCTCTCACAGTCAGGAAGTTCTTCTTCATGTTCAGATGGAATCTCCTCTCTTGTAGTTTGAACCCATTGTTCCATGTCCTAGTCTCCAAGGAAGCAGAAAACAAGCTTGCTCCCTCTTCCCTGTGGCTTCCTCTAACATATTTATACATGGCTATCATATCTCCTCTCAGCCTTCTCTTCTTCAGGCTAAACATGCCCAGCTCCTTAAGCTGCTCCTCATAGGGCTTGTTCTCCAGACCCTTGATCATTTTAGTTGCCCTCTTCTGGACACATTCCAGCTTGTCAATATCTCTCTTGAATTGTGGTGTCCAGAATTTGACACAATATTCCAGGTGTGGTGTAACCAAAGGAGAATAGAGGGGTAACATGACTTCCCTAGATCTAGACACTATGCTCCTATTGATGCAGGCCAAAATCCCATTGGCTTTTTTGCTGCCAAATCACATTGTTGGCTCATGTTTAACTTGTTGTCCACGAGGACTCCAAGATCTTTTTCACACGTACTGCTCTCAAGCCAGGCGTCCCCCATTCTGTATCTTTGCATTTCGTTTTTTCTGCCAAAGTGGAGTATCTTGCATTTGTCACTGTTAAACTTCATTTTGTTAGTTTTAAAACATCTTAGTACAGACTTTTCTTTACTGAAAACAGACGTATAAATAATGTTTATCATGTTTGATTTAATTTTTTGATTTAATTTTTAAAGAGCTACCTGTCCCATTCACTCAGGATACCAACTGGCAGCTGGGCTCCTAGTGGAGTTGGTGGGCTTTCTCTGGGTGAATCTACACTGTAGCATGAATGCAGTTTGATACCACTTTGATGGCCAAGACTCAATGCTATGTAATCATGGGAATTGTAGTTTTACAAGGTCTTTAGCCTTTCCTGCCAAACTGGTGCCTTGACAAACTACAGCTCCCAGGATTCCATAGCAAAGAGCCAGGGTAATTAAAGTGGTATCAAATTGCATTAATTCCACAATGTAGGTGCCTCCTTCCCCCTTCTCTATCTCACACACATGGACACACACACAATCACACAGTCAGCTTGCTCTCATCTTACCTTTTCCCTTTTTCTATCATTCTGTCCCTGTTTGCTCTCCCTGCTTGCTCTTCCTTTTTTGTTGTTGCTTTATCTATCTTATCTCATCCTTCCTTTTTTGTATTCCTCCTATAGCATAGCAGTCTAGATCTTATTTGCAGCCACAGCTGAGCTTCCTGATAGGCTGCCTTTGGAAGGAGAGGGGCTTGAGATGGAGAGGGAAAAAAAAAAGAATTATTGAATAAAATGAGGTCATTTAAGGGGAATGGGATGGATAGAGGAGTGAGCCAGGGGAAGATAGAGGAAGAGGAGATGAGGAAAACAAGTGGAGAAGAGACGCTTAGGGATACTGAGAATGGGAATGAGAGTGCAGCAGCATCTTTATGTAAGCATCAAGGAAGGAGATCGGATTCACATGTTGAGGGGAAATCAGAGGAGCTTTTGCCACTAAGGGAAGAAAACACAATTGGGAATGGGAGAAATGAGGGAAAAGAAAGAGAATCAATGAGTGGGTTGCTGGTAGTTTTCCGGGCTGTATGGCCATGTTCCAGAAGCATTCCCTCCTGACGTTTCACCCACATCTATGGTGGAAGAAAGATCTCTTGTCTGTTGAAGGCAAGCATGAATGTTGCAATTAATCACCTTGATTAGCATTGCAGAGCCTTGCAGCTTCAAGGCATGGCTGATTATCTGACTGGGGGAATCCTTTGTTGGGAAGTGTTAGCTGGCCCTGATCATTTCATGTCTGGAATTCCCCTTGTGGACCTTCTGCAGATATATAAACCTCCCTTGCTTAGTTTCCAATATATCTCACAACCTCTGAGGATGCCTACCATAGATGTAAGCGAAACACCAGGAGGGAATGCTTCTGGAACATGGCCATACAGCCCAGAAAACTCACAGCAACTCAGTGATTCCATTCATGAAAGCCTTCGACAGCACAAAGAATCGAGAAGTGTTTCCTTGCCAAACCAGATCTTGTATTTAGTAAGTTGCAACAAGCAATACTGATGCATCTTGAGCTTTCAGAACTTGAAATCTTTGAGTGAATGCTCTTCTTTGGGTGTGTCTATACTGTATATTTAATGCAGTTTGACACCACTTTACCTGCCATGGCTCACTGCTTTGGAATCATGGATGTTGTAGTTTTTCAACCAGGGAGCCCCTGGTGGCGCAGTGGGTTAAAGCGCTGAGCTGCTGAGCTTGTTGACCGAAAGGTCACAGGTTCGAATCCGGGGAGTGGCATGAGCTTCCGTTGTCAGCCCCAGCTTCTGCCAACCTAGCAGTTCGAAAACATGCAAATGTGAGTAGATCAATAGGTACTGCTCCGGCGGGAAGGTAACAGGGCTCCATGCAGTCATGCTGGCCACATGACCTTGGAGGTGTCTGTGGACAATGCTGGCCCTTCGGCTTAGAAATAGAGATGAGCACCACACCCCAGAGTCGGACACTACTGGACTTCATGTCAGGGGAAAACCTTTACCTTTACCTTACCTTTTTTTTGCCAAAGAGTGCTAGTTCTTTACCAAATTACAAATCCAGTGATTCCATAGCAGTTAACATGATGTCAAACTACATCTAATCTGATATGGCAGAATCACTTTCCCTGGAAGGAATTGATTGGAAGGAAATACTGCCCAAAGCAATTAATCACCTCGAGTGCTTTGGGCTCTCGGGTCTGGCACAACAGTTTGGAAAGTATTATTTTCTCCTCTATAAAGAAAATTGTTGTCTCTGTGGATGCACAAAGCAGTATGTGCCTTTGTCTCTCTGACAAATTATCAAGTTTCCTGAAAAAAATGTGGCTCAGCATTATAACAACCTCCTTATTATGCCTCTCCTATACTTCAGTACTATAAATAAATACACAAATAAATACTATCTGATTCTCCCTGCTGTATCCCCACACCCTCCCCCTTTCCTGGACCTTTTTCCATTAATCCCTTTCTTTGTTGGATAAACATGCTTGCAAAGTCAGATGCAGACCAGCTGGAAGATAAAGAAGGTAACACAATGACAGAAAGAGGTGGAGAAATGAATATGGATTCAAATATTTACCACTCTGCTTTAACTATTTTGGGCTTGCTGCCCAAAACACACGCAGAAGTGTCTAAGGATTGGAAATATCAAAACAAGGACTTACAAACTTTCTCCTCCTTAACAAGACACCAATGTGCTGAGACAAGTCATTAAAAAAATTACCCACCTCCACAAGATTTTTCATCCCAGAATAAGACTGAAAAGACCAGTGTTGTTTTTTTTCGCATCCCAAACAGCAGCAACAATAGCAAGGAGAGGGAGAGAAAGGAAAGGGTGGGTAGTTTCCACAAATTATGTTTAGCCCAAAAACCAGTTGTCCATCTTTGCTATTCAGTCACTGTATGTCTTGGTTCCCCTGCCACTTAGTTAATTTCACACAAATTTGTGTTTTATGAAAGGAGGTGCAGGACTCCGACCTTAGGAGTGTCATGTAATGTGGAGAATATCATAGAATCATAAAGTTGGAAGAGACCTCATGGGCCATCCAGTCCAACCCCTTGCCAAGAAGCGGGAAAATCTCATTCAGAATGTATAGGAATTCTTGTTATCTAGTAATATCAATTGGAGAATAAACCTTTGAACTTCCCACCCACCCACCCACGTACACAAGCGCACACAGAGGAAATTAGCAAAGTTTTAAATCTCTATCTAAAGGCATCATGAAGTATTGACGCTTAAAGGCAGACATACTGTTTGTGACATATATGTGAGTGTAAATCATGCTATGCATGTGGTGAGATCTCCATTTCTGCCATTTGAATCCTTTGTTCTGTGTTCTGGTCTCTGGAGCAGCAGAAAACATAGTTGCTCCATCTTCAATATAACAAATATTTAAATGTGCTATAATGTCCCACCTTAACTTTCTCCAGGCTAAACACATCCAGCTCCCTAAGATGCTCTTCCTAGGACATGGTCTCCACACCTTTGACTATTATGGCTGCCATCCTCTGAAAATGTTCCAACTTGACAATAGCAATATGTGCTATTTTTTTTTTTTGTCGTGTCAGGAGCGACTTGACAAACTGCAAGTTGCTTCTGGTGTGAGAGAATTGGCCGTCTGCAAGGATGTTGCCCAGGGGACGCCCGGATGATTTGATGTTTTTATCACCCTTGTGGGAGGCTTCTCTCATGTCACCGCATGAGGAGCTGGAGCTGATAGAGGGAGCTCATCCGCCTCTCCCCAGATTCGAACCTGTGACCTGTCGGTCTTCAGTTCTGCCAGCACAGGGGTTTAACCCACTGCGTCACTGGGGGCTCCATAATATGTGCTATGAATATGTGCTTTATTTATTTATTTATTTATTTATTTATTTATTTAGGGCTTTTATACTCCGTCCTATCTCAACCTCCGGAGAGGGACTCAGGACGGCTAACAAATCGGCACCCCATGGCGCCCACATCAGAAGCATAATATACACAATTTAACGGCAATATAATAACAATATAAAACAGTATAAACAGTATAAAACAATATAAAACAGCATAAAACAATCAATCAATAAGTCAGCAGTCATCGATTTAAATCATCTAGAGGATGAATTTGCCCCCATACTAAAAGTTGTTGAGATTTTGGAAATCCTGCCACCTCTCATCCTTGGCTAAACTAGGCAGCACTGAAGTGTGTTCAGCAATGTTTGGAGGACCATAATTGTTCACCCTGAGGCATATGACATGGGAACTTGTTTACAACATTTCAGGGGAAGGAGTAGTGAACTTCTAAAAATGGAAAATTAATAGAACCATAGAATAATAGAGTTGGAAGAGACCACATGGACCATCTTGTCCAACTCCCAGCCATGCCATGCCATGAGTCACCTTTGGGAGATAGAGCAGGTTATAAACATCATCATCATCATCATCATCATGATCATCATCATCATTATTATTATTATTATTATTATTATTATTATTATTATTATTATTATTATGACAAAGCACAATCAAAGTACTTCTTCACGGCATGTTATCTATTAAAATGAAGCTGATAAGCCAACAAAGGATTTCAGTGAAAATCTACCTGTAATTAGACTGCTATAAAGTACCAGCTTAATATTTTATGCTTCCAATTGAGTATATTTCTATTCTGTTACTGTCTTTTTTTGTCTTCTGCAGGCTCTGAAGCCTTCAAACCATGCCACCATCCAGAGCATAGTGAGAGCTGTAGGCGTTGTCTCTGGAATCCCCGAACCTTGCTGCGTCCCAGACAAGATGTCATCTCTCAGTATCTTGTTCTTTGACGAGAATATGAATGTGGTACTCAAGGTCTATCCGAACATGACAGTGGAATCCTGTGCCTGCAGATAACATTCCTACGTACCACCCAATCTAAATCCCCTTCTTGCTGCCTTGACTTTGTGGCTCAACAGTCCCCTCACCCCATTTTGCACTGCCAATGCATTTCATTCTCCAAAGATGTATAAGTAAACACAAATGAAAAGACAAGCAGGAGCTGAGAAGGAACACACCAAGGATTTCCAGGACATGGAAGGACCTGAGAAAACTGTTTAAACTGTGAGAATACAACAGAAAAAAATATCTAAAGCTTTGCACCAGCAATTATGTGGTGAGCCATGTAAAGGAAAAAATGAAATCCAGAGATAAAATAATCAAAAAGATCTGGAGATTGGCAGGAAGGCCCTTTTGATATATTTCTATATGACACTTTGAAAACAATGCATCAAAACTTCTGGTTTTCTGGTCAATTTTTCCAGAAATGAATGGTGAAGGAGACTTAAGGTACATGTTATGCATCTGAAGCTAAGCTTTCTGCCTTAGGTTGCAGGCAAACTCCCCAAAGTGCTAAATAACGTAATAAGTTCTGACATACTAAGAGCCTAAGGAAATCCAATTTAAGATGTTTATTTTCTTGACATAGTGTGTCAGCAGTGCTCTGTACATGTATCGCCTACATAAACAAGGCCTTTTTCCCCACGTGGAATAATGGGAATTCTTAACGTGCAAACCAAAATATACTCCTGGTTGCATATCTTCTGAAGATCAGTACATGTTACAATAATACTGTCATGCCAGCAATACTGTTTCAGTTGCTGCAAGAAGCTAGTGAAAAGAGCATAGGTGACAGAGTAGAAGGAAGATACAGGTTTGCCAGGGTGGTTACAGTAGCCACCGACCAGAGTAACTACTTCTATAATGTCTAGTCTCTTGTCCTGGAATAGTATATAGCACAAACATAAACATGCAATCTTCTGAATGGCTACTCAGAAATAACACATGCTTGCAAAATGACCTTGAGTATTCCTTGCCTAAGAAAACCACATGAAATTCATGGGGTTACCATAAATCAGCAGGCGACTTAAGGACACACACTCACAGTGGGCTTACTATATGTACACATGTGTGAGGTCATCATATGTATAGATCGAGGGCAAGTTCTGGGGCCAAGATTATGGTTTTTGTTTATGCTCTATGGAGAACTCAAGGGTCATTCTGTAAAAATGGGAAAGAATCAATGCCACTTCAGGGGCCAGCCATTCCTGGTTGCCAATTCTGGCATTTCCTTACTAAATATTCAAGAAATCCAGAAGAACAATAAAGGAGTTGGTGCTTCTTATAGGTTTTCCCAGGACGGAGAAAGCTTTTGCCTTTTGCCACTCTACTCAGAGAAGGAGATGGTTCCTTTTTTGATAAGAGTTAAAGCACAGTACTCACATTGACCCATGGATAAGTCCACCCAGTTTTGGGGGGGTTGATTTTTTGACTAAGATTACTAGACTTATACATGAGTATAAAAAGGTAAGTCCATATAGGATAGCAGCCTATGAATCTGCCTACCAATAGAATAACTTTAGTGAAGCAAAGAATTAAGACAAGATTTCCTTTTTCCAAATGAGAGTCTTGCCTGCAATGAGCTATCATGCGTAAGCCAGCCACATCAGCAGACCTACAGAGTTATTTAGTCTTGCACTGGATGGCTATGTACAAAGGACAAGGGGGGAATGGGTATTTCCCATGGTCAAAGGGAGTTCATGTTGAATGCATTGCATCCTTATGCATTGCAAAGCCTAGTAAACAGGTGTGCTTTGAGTCACACCAGTGGAAAAGTCAAGGCTTGAGATACACTTTGACTTACAATTGCCATGCATCTTACAGAAGATGCTAAGTGCCTTCCATTTTCTGTCCAAAGCACCAGGTGGTTTTCCTGCATTTGAGCAAAGCTCTAGTGTGGGAAATGAGGGTTAAAGCTTTAATTTCCAGCTTACTCGAGATGCAAAGAAGCTTCAGAGCATTGGAGCCTCTTTTACTAAGGAGCTGATGCATTCATTATTAAGCTGTCTCCTTCATGTAAAAATTAATAATGAAAATAAGACTTTTGTACATTTTTTTGCTTAGGAATTAATGCTTGTACAGTCAGCGTCAGTAAAGTTTTTAAAAAGCCAAAGGATATTTGTATATGGAAAGAAGCTTTTATTAATGCCTTTAATTTATTTTATTTCTGTTGCCTTCCTGTGTGTTAATTAAGTTTCCACTTTTTAGTACTCTTATAAATACACAGTGAGTTTTACTTTAATTTTACGAAGTCATATATATATATATATATATATATATATATATATATATATGCCTTCAGAACCAAGTGTGCATGCTGCAGGCACCCAGAAGATACTTTCCACTACTGATGTATAAGCTTGCCTCACTTGTATTTGTTTCTCTCCTTCAGTAATAAGATTTTTTTTCACTGCAAACTACTATGTACAAGTTTATGTTAAACATTTTAATGTGAAACATCACTTTCTCTTTTCATTTACAACCACTACAACTGTTGCTTGAGACAAGATTGTTTTTGAAAGGATCATAATAGAGTTGGAGCAAGGAACTATAAGGAGGGACAGCTGAGATTCTGCATTGTATTTGTAGTTTCAAATAACCTAAGGAATCTGTTGGAGTGCATACAGCTGTTAGAGATCTTGATTTAAGGACCAAACACGCCAATGGCTTGGAGAAAGAAACTAAGTTTTATTGTAGAAACTACATTCGAAGATAGGAAAGTTACTCAAGATGCTTATTTAAGTTCATTACCATCATAGGCAATCACTTGTGGCTGAGTATGATAGTCTTCCAGAGACAGTCTTATGCTGGGTCCATAAATGACTGTGAAGACCTAGTCTGTATCTGAATAGACAATCTTGAAAAGTCAAGAGATGACTCATGGGAAGAAGACATAGGGAAACATTCCTAAGAGGAGTAATAATAATAATAACAACAACAAACTTTATTTGTATATCACTCTGTCTCCCCAAGGGGACTCAGGGACGTTTCCAGCATATATGAAATATTCAGTTACCAACACAAAATAATACAGACTGACCATTATAAAACAATACTATTAAAAGCAGCCATACATATTTAAAATTCAAAAACCAGTTCCAGTACTATTCCATCGGGTTAAATTCGACTATTAATGGCCAGAATTTCAGAGTGGACCTAGGCAACTATGAGAGGGCTGGGCTAGTGCAACGAAATAGCATAGGGCCAGGGAAGTGGTTAAAGTGCAAAGCAGGGTCCTAACTGAGGGCCAGGGTAGGACCTTGGGCTACTTATTTCCAAGGTTTCCTGCTGAACAGTTAGAGGAGGGTTGGGCCAATAGGGAAGCAAATGGCCGGGGAAGTGGATAAAGTGCAGAGAAGGGATCTAACTAATGGCTAGGGTAGGGCCTGGAACTATTCATTTCCAAGGCCTGCTGAATAGCTATAGTAAGGGTGGGCCAGGGCTAGTACAATAAGTCAGCATGAGGCCAGGGAAGTGGGTAAAGTGCAAACTGATGCTAGGGTAGGGCCTAGGGCTACTCATTTCCAAGGCCTACTGAATAGCTGTAGTAGAGCTGGGCTAGGGCTAGTACAATAGGTCAGCATGAGGCCAGGGAAGTGGGTAAAGTGCAAACTGATGGCTTGGGTAGGGCCTAGGGCTACTCATTTCCAAGGCCTACTGAAGCTATGGTAGAGCTGGGCCAGGGCTAGTACAATGGGTCAGCATAGGGTCGGGGAAGTGGGTAAAGTGCAGAGCAAGGACCTAACTGATGGCCAGGATAGGGCCTGGAGCTAATCATTTTCAAAAGTCTGCTGAAACCACCATGTTTTCAGGTCCCTGTGGAAAGTGGATAGTGACAGGGCTTGCCTCATCTCTCTGGGGAAGGCGTTCTAAAGGCAGGGTGCCACCACCAAGAAGGCTCTCTCCCTCCTCCCCACCTACAGGACAATGGTGGAAGTGAGAGGACGGCCTCCTCAGTAGATCTCAGTAGATCTAAGAGTTCGCACTGGTTCACAGGGGGAGATGCGATTGCAGAGATAGGCAGGGCCTGAATCATTTAGGTCTTTATAGGTCATAACCTGCATCTTGAATTGCGACCGGCAACTTATTGGCAACCAGTGGAGCTGCTTTAATAGGGGTGTTGTACGTTCACTTAGAAGCCTGGCTGCTGACCTTTGTACCACTTTCTTTCCACTTTATGTCACAGATGATTCAAGATAAGTAGACGTAGAGGGAGGATGCTTCAGGTCACTCGTATTACGTAGCCCTATTACTACTGCTGACTGCAGCATTTTTCATTCTTCGGTGCTAAGTATTGTTGCGATTTCAAAAAAATGAACACTGGAACCCACGTTAAATTCCAGAAAGCCATTCCAAGCAATGGAGGTATGCGGTATGGGAGGGAGGCATCCACATCATCCTCAAGTACTCCACTCTATCCTGCCACTGAGAGTGGCTCTATGGGTTGGTGGGTTTCAGGAGGCCTTTATGATTGTGGCAATAGTGACACAAGCATACATTATTATGGAAAAATGGTAGGTGCATGACTCTGTGTTATGAATCCCAGTGCAGGACGCCACTATGTAAAATCAACAAAAAGCTCAGGATGCAAGCCATTAAGTTAGGACATCAAAGCAGATTGTAAATCAATGGGAGTTGTACATCCTGTGACACATCAGCCCACCCTTTTTGCCATTTGAAACAGGCAACAAATGGGGTGCATTTACTGAGCCTACATGACTGGATTGCATATATCTTGTTTGTTCTATCATAGGCCTGTGCAACCTTTGATCAATATTTTGATTGACAGTACTGAATTCTAGAAAAGTTCAACACTTAAAGGTGGGCACATCCTGAAGACTAGTCTATGAATTATTTCATTCTCCACCTGTAAAGACAGCCTAAGAAGTTCATTGTTGCCAAGCTTCCATGTGTCTCATCTTGAATTGAGCAATTAAACTCCTCCAGAAACATTTCCAATTAGAAGCAGTTTTTGAGAGAGGGTGAGGTACATGTTAACGAGAAGGTAGTGGCCAAACCTTTTGGAAGATGACAGTTCTACTCAGTATTCTGAATCTTCATTTCATTTATATGTTCCATTACCACCCATTCATTCCTTGTCAATTAAAGAAGTTCACATGGTTGCTTGCTTCCCTATTTAGAAAATTTGGATCCTGTGCAAATTTGTCCCATTTGTCCCATTTTACATCCAAAAGAAACCTACTTACCATATAAAACTGAAGACATATGTGAAAATTATAATTGCTCTCTCTTGAACTGCAATAGTTAATTTAACCTCTATAAGTAAAGGTAAAGATTTCCCCTTGACATTAAGTCCAGTCGTGTCTGACTCTGGAGGGTGGTGCACTTCTCAATTTCTAAGACGAAGAGCTAGCATTGTCCATAGATGCCTCCAAGGTCATGTGGCTGATATGACTGCATGGAGCACTGTTACCTTCCTGAAGAAGTGGTACTGATTGATCTACTCACATTTGCATGTTTTCAAACTGCTAGGTTGGCAAAAGCAGGGTCTAAATGCGGGAGCTCACCTCGCTCCCCGGATCAAACCACCTACCTTTCAGTCAGCAAGTTCAGCAGCTCAGCGGTTTAACCTGCTGCTCCACAAGGGGGCTTCTATAATACATCTCTATAGTACACTTAAAATTCAATACAGTAAGCCCTCCAAATTCATGGGTTCTGTATCCATGGATTCAACGATCCACAACTTGAAAGTATTCCAAAAAAAGATGAATTCCCAAATCCAAATCTTGATTTTGCAATTTCATATAAGATGCACCATTTTACCATGTCACTACATAATGGGACTTAAGAATTAATTGATTTTGTTATCCCAAGAAATGGGGGGGAGGATCCTGGAGCGAAACCCCAAGGAATTAAAAACACGAAAGTAACTTTCTGGGCTAGGCAAAACTACGGTGAGGTGGATCTGTAATTGGTTAAATGGACGAACCCAGAGGGTGCTCACCAATGCTTCCTCTTCATCCTGGAAAGAAGTGACGAGCGGAGTGCCGCAGGGTTCCGTCCTGGGCCCGGTCCTGTTCAACATCTTTATTAATGACTTAGATGAAGGGTTAGAAGGCAGGATCATCAAGTTTGCAGACGACACCAAATTGGGAGGGATAGCCAATACTCCAATTATAATAATATAATATACATATAATATATATTATGTATAATATAATATATATATAATATATTATAATATAATATAATTATATTATATAATAATATATTATAATATATAATATATATTATATATTATATTATCTATAATATAATATTATATATATATTATAATAATATAATATAATAATAATATAGTAATATAATATATAATAGGAAGGAAGGAAGAGGAAGGGAAGGGAAGAGACAGTAAATGTACTAAATAAATAAATAATGTGTTATAGGGTGGCATCCTTGAACTGGCCTTTGGTAACCATTTACTTAGATGGTTCATAGGGAGGCACTATTGCATTTTAACCACTCTGGCTTAAGCCTGAAAACCACTTTTAGCTATACTGATCTTTTATGCCACCAATATGGGTTAGGTTTTGGGGTGTCTCATGTTTCCATCTTGTTCACCATTTTTTTATCAGTTACATGAAAATTCATCTGGAGGTTTCAGTTAAGGTGTCACCAGCATGTAGATGAGATGCAAATATACCCCTCTCTCGTAGCTAGTAGAGAGATGGGCCAAAACTAACAAAATGAAGTTTAACAGTGACAAATGCAAGATACTCCACTTTGGCAGGAAAAACGAAATGCAAAGATACAGAATGGGGGATGCCTGGCTCGAGAGCAGTACGTGTGAAAAAGATCTTGGAGTCCTTGTGGACAACAAGTTAAACATGAGCCAACAATGTGATGTGGCGGCAAAAAAAGCCAATGGGATTTTGGCCTGCATCAATAGGAGCATAGTGTCTAGATCTAAGGAAGTAATGCTACCCCTCTATTCTGTTTTGGTTAGACCACATCTGGAATATTGTGTCCAATTCTGGGCACCACAATTCAAGAGAGATATTGACAAGCTGGAATGTGTCCAGAGGAGGGCGACTAAAATGATCAAGAGTCTGGAGAACAAGCCCTATGAGGAGCGGCTTAAGGACTGGGCATGTTTAGCCTGAAGAAGAGAAGGCTGAGAGGAGATATGATAGCCATGTATAAATATGGGAGAGGAAGCCACAGGGAGGAGGGAGCAAGCTTGTTTTCTGCTTCCTTGGAGACTAGGACACAATGGAACAATGGCTTCAAACTACAAGAGGAGATTCCATCTGAACATGAGGAAGAACTTCCTGACTGTGAGAGCCGTTCAGCAGTGGAACTCTCTGCCCCGGAGTGTGGTGGAGGCTCCTTCTTTGGAAGCTTTTAAGCAGAGCTGGATGGCCATCTATCAGGGGTGATTTGAATGCAATATTCCTGCTTCTTGGCAGGGGGTTGGACTGGATGGCCCATGAGGTCT